GGGGCGAGTAGAGGCTGGTGAGGCACTCCTCGATGTGAGTGACATGACCACCTAGCCATGCTCACCCAGCCGATCATTAGGCAAATCATATTAGTGGTCCATGGGATTTAAAGTTATGAATTTAGTGGTCCCCGAGGTCCGAAAAGTTGGTGACCCCTGTATTAAATGACTTTGGGACAATTTCCACTATGGTGCTTTTCAAAAAGGCGGCTAGACTTTCTTGTTTTTTTTTCCTTGAAAGAACATTTCAGTGAAATGTTTTCAAAGAACAAAACAAAAGATAGTCCAGAAGAGAAGAACCTGGGTGATACCTGGGTGACTGAGAATCTCCATAGACACATTGAGCTAATTGTTTTCTCTGCCTTGTCTTCTCTATAGGATTATTCCTTTTTGGGGTGAGGGTGGGAAGAAAGGAAATGGGGAGATTGTTAGACATACTATCTTGAATTCCTGGAGAGCCGTAGTATAAAGATTAGCCACACTCAACAGAAACAATGATTCAAACACGAATAGGGAGGAAAATATATTAAACTCTGATAATATATTCTTCTGTGTAGGTGTTCTTGGGAATCAAAATTCAGTATGAATAAAACCAGATAAGCTATACCTATAGAGAAATCTTTTACTTGGACAGATGCATTCTCTTGAGTTCCATAGCCTTGAATAAATTGAGTTGCTTTGTAAAATATGATACTGCAGGGTTGTCGACAGCTGTCAGGTGTTCACAACTATTTAATTCTTCAGATAGCTTGCTAGCACTCCCCCTCTCCATCCCTCCCTCCCTCCCCCACCTCTCTCTCTCTCACACACACAAAGAGTTCCCATTCCAGTCTGGAGTGTTGCAATTTACCATTCAACTGTATAGATCTTTCATTATACCTACTGCTTCAACAAAGCCTAAAGGAATTTGCAAATAAATCTAAAAGCTAAACATTCAGATTCTAATAAAATCAATGCTGCTATAGAGTAAATGGGAGGAAATGGTCTCTATCTAGGGCAGTGTTTCTCAACCTTGGCAACTTGAAGATGTCCGGACTTCAACTCCCAGAATTCCCCAGCCAGCATTTGCTGATCTAGGGAAAAAGTAGACCAGCACAGTGCTAATGCTTAATTTTACCATTAGATAACAACTTCAGTATTTGATAATCTTCGCTTTCAGTCAGAACCATTTACAGGTAGGCCTCAAGTTACGAATGAAATGGAGCCTGCCCATTCCATTCATAACACGAGAATTTGTTGGAGTGAATCTCGTACCTTGAATGTGATCATTCCCTCTTTCGCTCATGCATTCGCTAATCAAATGCATGGTTTGTTAAATGCATATGAGGTATCTCGGGATGGGGAAGGGGGCCTAGTGATAGAACAAGCCACCTGCTTCAGTACACCGACCCACAGATACCTCATTCTCCCTCCCGCCATCCTACTGAGCTGGGTCACTTACCTGATGAAGATCTGTCTCCCCTCCACCCTGTTTCTTTGCCTGCTCCCTCCTTTTTCATTGCTGAAGCCTTCCTCAAGTAGTTAGGCAGCAAAGAAAGGAAGCCCGGATGTATGCATGTGCCTCCTTTTTCACTGCCAAAGCCTTCCTCAAGAAATTTAGGGGCAGCAAAGGAGGCCCAGAATGGCACACATGGCCATCCGTGCCTCCTTCCTCACTGCCTAACCTCTTGACAGCTTTGACAACTAAAAAGGATGCCCTGATGGCCGTGTGCCCCATTCTGGGCCTCCTTTCTCATTGGCAAAATGCTTGAGGATTGCGTCTCTGTAGGCTTCCGCAGCCCTTTGCAAAAAGCTTTTGCCAGTAGGAATAGAGCTTCGGAGGCATGCATTTGCCCCTCTCAAGCTTCGCTGGTACTACAAAGGCTTTTTGCAAAGGGCTGCTGAAGCCTGCATGGATAACAATCTCCCTGCAGACTTTGGCAAGGAAACTGCAAACAGAGGAAAGGCCTGAAGGCCTGAAGCCTTCCCTCTGTTTGTAAACATCCAGAGGGTTGGGTAAGCTCCCCATTGGGAGAGTGACTACATTCAGCGAAGCGTTGTGAGAGTTGTCTTGGAGAACACAAACCAGCATACAGAGACACTGCAGTTTAAATAGGCTTTTACTTTCGTAAAAATAGAGGTATCAGAGTCCATCAAACAGTCCAAGTCATACACAGATAAGACAGTCAGTCATCAATGCCGTGCAGTTAAGGGATAATCCAAATAACATAGTCCAGTATCATATAATCAGTTCAGTACTCAAAGTTTGCTAACAGTTGCAAAACTTACAATAGCTCAAGGCACTCAGATCAGGTACAATAGCTCAAGGCACTCAGATCAGACCAGACCAGCCCAGCCCAGCATCTAACGAACAGAGAGAGCTAAGAGTCATTCTGGCTCCCTCTTATGGCCAATTGAGGAAAACAGCAACCAATCACATTTTACAGTATGATTTAAAGAAACAGGCACAACATTGTTACATGATTTATATATTGCCAACCCAAACATTAGAATTATATTCCTAACACAGACCTCAATTCACATAGAATAGAAACCTAAAGTGCGTGATCTCACAGTAAGTTAGGCCTCTGTTCTCTACGAATACACCAAAAGCCTGAAGCAGTGAAGTAGGCAAAGAAACCGCAACAGAGAGGAGATCTTTGCAAGGTAAATGAGTCTCCACAGGGAGAGTGCCTGTGAAGACCTGGTGGGGTGTGTGTGAATAGGCAAGATGAATGCTGCAGAGCCTCTGCAGTTGTTTGTAAGAGTGGACAACTGCCGTGATGCTACAACATTCATAATTTCGGGACTTGTTTGTAAACGCTAGGGGGCGCTTATCATGTACTTTCGAACATTCACTAAGGGAATACTCGTAACCCGGGAATTATTTATGTATGATATAGGTCTCCTACTCAGATGCCAATAGATTGGTATTTAAATAAATCTTATTCAAGTTTTCTTTGCGTCATACCTCCTGAAGGTCAACTGTAAGATGAAATAATGAATAGTAATTTAGCACCGGCTAACAGCATACTTGTGAAATAAATGTAATATTACGTAAACTAGGAGTATGAACGACTGCCTGGGATACTGTTGATGTATGACAGCTTATTGTGGATTATGCAAGCATGTCTTAAATATATATTTTATTAAGAATTTTTTATTAATGAATATAAATAAACCTAGACACAAAGAATAGAAAAAGAATAAAAATGCAGAAAAAAGAAAAAGAGAATATAATAAAGAAATGCTTAAAAAGTGACTTCAAACATTCTTCATAAGTATAAACAAATTTACTGACATAGATGTAGTAATTCAGTAAATACAAATTAAAAGTAAAAATATCCTTGTGGTGTACTCTCTAGCTGAACAACAATTTATAACAGAGTTAGGCAGGTTCAGTACTGAATGGAATAAGTAGTAAATATAATTAGTATTATATTTCTGATACCAATCTTTTCCACTCTGGCCTTTTAATGAAAAAATAAAATATTTTTTGAAATATTTATATAGCATCTCCATGTAGCATTTTTTTTTAAAACAATGAGTACTTAAATTCTATCTTGGCTTACACCTATTACATGAAGATGATTAGATGCCCTTGCTTGTCATGAGGACTAAGCACAATGGCCATGCTGACAAGTCTTCCTTCTTCCAGTATTGCGCCACCAAAGGTCTTGCTGCTGTTATTAGGTTCAAAATGAATGTAGTCTCTATAACAGTAGAATCAGTAATTATACCTAACAAGAATAACTGAGAGGTAAACTTTATCCTCTTTTTAAAAATATTTTGCATAATCCACCATATTTTTATCCAAAATGCTTTAACCTTTTTGCAAGTCCACCATATATGATAATACGTTGCATCAGCACAATCACATCTCCAGCATTTAGGTTGCAAATTCGGATACATGCAAGCCAATTTTTTAGGATCTAAGTGCCATCTATAAAACATCTTATAAAAGTTCTCTCTCAGGTTTTGGGCTTGTGTAAATTTTACATTTCTTACCCATATCTTTTCCCAAGTGTCCAACATTATTGGTTCTTCAAAATTTTGTGCCCACTTTATCATACAGTCTTTAACTAATTCTGTTTCGAATCCATTTCTATTAGAACGTTATATAACCTTTTTATGTGCATTTGACTTTGATCCCTGATTTGTTTTAGTAGATTGTCCTCGTCTTTCGTAATACCAATTTTCTGATCTTTTTTCCATCTGGCCTGCAACTGTCCATACTGAAACCATGTTTGGATTACCTTCTCCTCTTTTAGTACATTCAAGGGTTTTAGCTGTAATACACCTCTTTCTACAGTAAGAAGCTGTCTATATGTAGTTACATCATGTTTTTGTGTTATACTTACGTTCTCTATTGCATGTCTGGGAATTGCCCTGATAGGTATCTTATCATTGAATTTATATTGATATTTTTTCCAGACACGCAATAAAGCATTCCTTAATATATGACGTTTGAATGTCTTATCCACCTTCTTGTCGTATATCAAGTAAGCATGCCAGCCGTATATCAAGTCATGCCCCTCGATATTCAGTAATCTATCCTCTGTTGAATTAATCCAGTCACTAATTATTGATAAAACTACTGCCTCATAGTATAGTTTTAACACAATGGACATGTTGACAGATCACACAAGTCTGAATAAGAGTTTTTCCAGGAGCAGCAATAGTAATAGGATGTTCATTTTATATTCTTGCTGCTGAGTTTTGATGGAAACAGAATTAACATTTTGGTTCCATCTACTGAGGAATCCAGTGGGGTTTCCCAGGGCAGAACTTAGGACCAGAATTCCAAGACACCATCTAGCAAAATGAGTTCCCAGTGGAGAAGGGTACATTCAGCAGAATTGACTGCCTTCTCTTTTTACAGCTAAACTTACTGAGATGGAGCAACTTTATGTTTGGACTAGGCACCGAAAAGGAAAATGAGATATTGGAGAAGGAAAGCTTTGCTACTCAATTTGTGATACCTTAAAAGAAAATCTTTCTTATTCCCCACTCCTCTGCAGGTTAGTTATGATGGAGAACTTCACAAACATCCACAGCTGGAAGCTGACTTGGCAGCAGTAAGAGAAATCTATGGGCCAAATGCAGTATCTCTCAGGTTGGTCTGTCTATTTTCTCTATTTAATCATCTATCCATTCAGGGGTATCCAAATTGGTTTGTTCAAATTGATTCAGAAGAATCCCCAAATTTTTTCTGGTTCAGAAATCTGAATCAATTCTATCCAAATCTCAAAACCTGATTCAGTTTGGGTTAGTTTAAATCATTAAAATATTGGTACATATGCTATATACAACACCTAGCAATTCGCAAGCACATAAAAATGCAAGTAGAAAAATGGGAACCCCCTTTGGTGGGAAGGTAACAGCGTTCCATGCGCCTTCGGCATTTAGTTATACTGGCCACATGAATATGGAGATGTCTTCAGACAGCGCTGGCTCTTCGGCTTTAAAACAGAGATGAACTCCGCCCCCTAGCATCGGGAACAACTAGCACATAAGTGTGAGGGAAACCTTTACCTTTACATATGCTATGTTGTCCCAATCCAGTACAATAAATTCAAGTATGATCATTTTGACTAATGAGTTCAGTCCTTTGGTTTCCTTTATTAAATGACTTCATCCTTTCAATCAGTTCAGGGTGTTAAATGCTTTTTTCATTTTTTTCTTTAGATATTAAGAATATCTATGTAAGCAAGGAAAAGTAATTTTTTGTGGCTAAACAATTATATTTTAACAAAAAAGAGAAAATATTTCATCAGAAACTGATGAGAATTAAAGAATGAACATACAAATCTAGCTATGAGATGGGCAGCCATTTGTATTAATAAAAAAAGAAATGTGATTATAATTAAATAGAAATATAATTATCTTTACTTCATAGCAAAAATTCTAACTTGGTGATCTAAATGCTGTCTTGAGACACATTTCACATTTCACATTTTCTTTTAAGTTACACTAGAATTGAACCAGGCATTCATTCAAACAGAATGTTTTCTACTTGGCCATTATAATGGAAAATAGTCAAATCAATATAGGCAGAATTGGTTGCAGGCCTGAAGAAATTCTGGGCAGAAATCAGAACTTTTCTAAAATCCATTTAAATATCCCACAATGCCTCAAACCATTTGTGCATCAAAGCATTATGGGAAGCAATTATAGTAACAAGATTTAGATAATCACTGCTGCTTAGAACATTAAAAATGTTTCTTCATTTTTAAAATAGACTAATTTGAAAGTAGCTACGCAAAAATCCTAATTGCTGACTCTAGGCCTCTATGAGAAATCTGTTCTTCAGAGACATGCCTTGGATTATTTAGTGGAGTGATGAGATAATTTAAAGAGCAAAAGCTGAATTAGGTGATGAGTGATGTAAACTTTTTAAATTGTAATTGTTAAGGCTATCTATACTGCAAATGTTGTTTTTAACTTCACTGCCAACTTAGGTGAGTCAGTTCATTATTTCTAAATATACCAACCACAGTTAAATGATTGTCTTAAAGCCACAATCCTAAACATATTTAGATAGAAAGGGAAGTTCTGTTCCTGTAAATGATGCTGACCAACATTTCATGAAACTGGTAATATTTCCTGAATCTATTAGAGGCTGCAGTTCAAATATCATAAATATAGAAAGTTTAAAAATGATTTTTTCCCTTCTCTGAAATATGTATGGTTAAGATTGCACCTTCAGTGTTCCTGCCTAACATCTTCAGCATACTGTCAGTAGACTTATATATTGCTGGCTTTCTTCCTTTAACCAAGTGTTATTTCACATGATTGCAGCAATTGGTAACTCTCTTGTATAGTCTGGTCCAGAATCTTGATAGTTCAGTACCTTCATTTATTCATAAACTGAATTGCACACTTGTATTCTGCATGAATCAACCAAAATAAATCACCGCCAGGGGGAAAAATGGTCACTGTAATTGCCAAAATTCCCCTGAATAATGTCCATCCTACTTCTTCCACTTGCTTTATAGGGCACTTAATCTTTATGGATCAGGTTTATAGTGTACCATACAATGGACTAGTCCTCATCAGGATTCCAGATATATACGGTATAACATCATTGCAGATTAGGGCCTTTGTCTTTCTCTTAATCTGAATGATTTGTCAGTTTTTGAACACAATCTTCTAAGACTATTTCATTGGCAGTCACTCCATTTATCCAGATCCAAAGTGAACCAAAAGTTACCTTAACATTCATTTGTTTCATTTGCTCAGTGATATGCAAATTGAATTGAGAGTGTACATTCCAGTTCCTTAGACAATATGTACAGGGGGAAAATATTTTCATTACATGCTATTTGAATTAAGTGGAAATTCATTGAGTATACAGAATGTTGGAGATTAAAGTCCAAAGAGGAAATGAATAAGATAATCATTTAATTGCATATCCTGATAACTGCTATGGTTGAAAAGCTGTACATAGCTTCATAATAATCTCCCTCTGGGTTTGCAGTTATGAAAGTAAATTTAACTTTTTATTTTAAAAAAAAAAACACCACCATGCTTAATTTCTCCAGGACCTGCTTCAATGTCTTTTGAGACGCAATCCATTAAGAAGCTGGTTGCTTCTGGCTTGGAACAAATAAATGCGGAAGCATCCCTTTCTTTTCTTTTTTAAAAAAGCCATCTCTTGTGTGCAAACTGTTGAGTGTGTTTTAACTTCCTTGGTGGTCAAAAAAAATGCTCTCTTGAATACTGATTGATTTTTATTCTCAGCTTTATGGCTAGTCTCCAACTTCCATAACCTAGTCTGGCAACTGGGACATCACTGTAAATTAAACCAGGGTCACCTTCATAGGAGGCCTCGTTCCCACTTTCCATTCCAACTCATCAATCAATAGCATGCAGTGCTTTTTCAAAGCTGCCATGACATAGCCCTGTAACATAAAGACGTTTATATTTAGACAAGGAGCTGCTTTTTCTTGTGGCCTCTCAGACTCTCTGCACTACTGGGCTTCTTGTATTATTGCAAGAAATGAATGAGAAGCTGAAATGTTGCCAAACAAAAGGTCAGCTTCTAACAACATCTGTACAGATAGTGCTTGACTTACAACAGTTCATTTAGTGACCATTCAAAGTTTCAACCGTACTGAAAAAAAGTGACATATGGCCGTTTTTTACACTTACATTTGTTGTAGCATCCCCATTGGATGTGATCAAAATTGACAAGCTTGGCAACTGGTTCGTATTTATGATGGTTGCAATGTCATATGATCACCTTTTATGATCTTCTGATAAGCAAAATCAATGGGGAAGCCAGGTTCACTTAACAGTTGTGTTACTAATTTAACAATTGGAGTAAGTCACTTAATTTTGGCAAGAAAAGTCGTAAAATGGGCAAAATTCACTTAACAAATGTTTCATTTGGCAACATAACTTTTGGGATCAATTGTGGTCCTAAATCGAGGACTACCTCTATTTACAAGAATTACTCTGGACACTACATGAGATATACAAGTCTTCTTTGACAGTCAATGGTTGATTGGAAGTATGTTTAGAAAACCAAAGTAATCTGTGTTTGTGTTTATTTCATTTGTATGCCGCCCTTTTCCCCCGAGGGGGACTCAGGGCGCCTCACAACTCAAAACAAGGGAA